CCTCCCACGACCACTGGCGGTGCCTTGAATCCGTCCACCGCGAGTACTTCCCCCAGTCCCACACACTCCAGCGGGGCACTCGCCACTAGTGTTCAGACCGGCTTGTTTGGCCTGCTCGCTCTTTTGGGCTTCACGCTTGCCTGAGCGGATTCGGACTGATTTTGGACTATATGGTGCAGGGATTGTCGGGATCCAGCTTCCTTTTTTTTCTGATATAGAACTCTCGATGTGCTTCCTTTTGGACAATGACTTTTTTGCGTCTGTGCGGCTTTGTACAACTCTCGGTAATTTTGTCCTGGACCGATTACATTAGATTGTGCCATCGCGCCACTACTTTTGGGATATTGTTACTGTGATTCTCTCACATATTCTGGGCGTTGTACTGTGTTCATTAGCATACGTACAACATAGATTCTCTTGCCTTGGGGTCTAAAATTTTGAACAATATAACGTATACTTTGGATCTTCCTGAACTCATTGAACGAGTTGGAGGCGCCGGCTGGGGCAACTGGGATTATTTACAAATCAATCCGAGTGCTGGGACCTCCACCCGCAATCGCGAATCCCATGGGACTTTACCTTCATCCACCATGTCTCACTCGTACGAACACCTCCTCCCACCGAGCTGGAAAGCTCAAATAACGACCTGGCTGGCTGAGGACACCCCATCTTTCGACTACGGCGGCTATGTCGTCGGTGAAGCTCAGCGCGAGGCGTTTCTGCTCGGAAAGGGCAGCCAGACCGCCGTCCTCGCCGGCGCACCATTCTTCACGGAGGTCTTCGCACAGCTCGGATGCGAGTAAGTGTGTCAGAACCACGCTGGACTCGCGGGCTCGGACTCGTCGCTGACCACGCAATGTCCACGCGCGGCGCTGCAGGGTCGAATGGCACATGAAGGAGGGCGAGACCTTCGCGCCCGTGAAGCATGTCGCGACGGTGCGGGGGAAGGCCCGTCACCTTCTCCTCGGCGAGCGCGTCGCTCTGAACATGCTCGCGCGGTGCAGCGGGATCGCGACCAAGTATGTGGTCCCGTTCATTTCGCCCGGGTGCGCGCTCATCCCGGTCCGCCGGAAGGTCCAAGGCCATCCAGGACCAGGCGCGAAGCTACGGGTACAGGGGCATCATCGCGGGGACGCGAAAGACGACGCCGGGGTTCCGACTGGTAGAGAAGTACGGGATGCTGGTCGGGGGAATCGATCCCCACCGGCACGACCTCTCGAGCATGATTATGCTCAAGGACAACCATATCTGGTCCTCCGGTGCGGGCTATGTGCACTAGCGGGTGTGCAGTGTCTCACCGGTGCTCGCGTGTTTATCAGGATCAATCACAGCAGCGATCAAGGCAGCGCGTGAGGTCGGCGGATTCAGCCTCCTCCTCGAGGTGGAGGTGGGTTCCGAAGCGGAAGCGGATGAAGCCATCGATGCCGGGGCCGATATCATCATGTTGGATAACATGGAAGGAGCCCAGCTCGTGAGTGTTGCTCGCACACTCAAGGAGAAGTGGCAGGGAAAGCGCAAGTTCCTCTTCGAGAGCAGCGGCAATATCACAGAGGCCAATTTACAGGAAAGAGCGATCAATGGTCAGCACACTGCTAGTAGGGTATTCGGGGAATTGATGCTCGTTATTTATTCCCGCTATAGAGATCGACATACTCAGCACAAGCACGGTGCATCAGTCCGTACAACATATCGATTTCAGCCTGAAGATCCAAATGCCGAAGTGATACAAGATGTATGCGAAGTTGTAGCAGCCAGATTGCATTTGTATTCCCTATCGTTTTTATTGATCATTATGCACGAACCGGAGCTCTCATGTTCATGATCTTAGTCCAAAGAGCGAGAGCGCATTTGTGCCTCGGACGCCGTCCTTATCCACCTCATCCCAACCGTGGACGCCATCAATGGCCTCCAAGTTTTCAACGACACTTTTCCACTTTTCTGCCCCGCCGAGCGGCGGGAAGAAAGGATGGTCGGTGCCGAACAGCATCCTTCTGCTTCCCAATCTCCGTGTCGCTGCGCCGGTCCCCTTGGATGCCCCGGCGGAAGAGCCGCTCTTGACGAACTTGTCGGAGCGGCCAATTACGTCGCTCACGAAGCCAAGCTCCTCGGAGCCGTATGCGACCGCATCGAAATACAATTTGCCGAGGTAATATCGGGCGTCGTGTTTAAGTCTAGAGGCGACGACGGGGTCGTGATCGATGCAAGAGGCAAGCCGAGATGAGAGCTGGGGAAGTGCGCCGCCGGAATGCGCAAGGAGGATGCGGAGATCCGGATAGCGGTCGAGGACGCCAGACAATATCAGCCTCGTAATCGCCTGTCGGTGGCATCAGCCGGAGCACGGTGGCGGTGTACAGAAGTTAAGAAAGCGCACTATTGTCGTTTCGAAGGGGAAACCCAATGCGAGAGGCAGGACGTGGCCGTTCTCCTTGTCGCCCCATTCTTTGCCGTCCACACCGTAGTGTGGGTGCAGAAAGACGACTAGGCGTGCTTTCTGGATGGCGGCCCACACGGATTCGAGGGCATCATCATCGAGACCTTTGCCCAGCCCGCGCGAGCCCATGATGATGCCCTTGAGGTGGGGCAGCGCCGATATTTGCCGCACGGTATCGAGCAGGGAGGAGGTTGTCACCTCGGGGACGAGAGGAAGAAGCCCGAAGCCGTAGAGCTGCTTCAGCTCACCGCCGGCAGCGCTGGGGGAGGAAGAGCAGTATTCCTCTAGATCGTTGTTTAGCTCACTGGCCAGTTGGTGCGCGGTGGATGCTGGGAGAAAGTCTAGCCATGGGTTTGCAGAGCTTTGGCACCGTCAACATGCTTCAGAGTATGGATATGAAGGGACAGACCTCACTACGGAGATATCAATCCCATGTCTCTCCATGAAGTTGAGCTTTTCTACCTTGTCCCAGAACTGTTCATGACTGACGATAAGTATACATCTTGAATATGGACTGAATACGGACTGAAGTACCTGGGGGCCCATTGGCCGACCTCCGCTGGGTTCTCCGTCGAGGATTAACAGCCTCTCCTCCGTCTTTCCCTCTGCATTCTCCCTGGTGAATATGCGGGGGGCGTTGGAGCGTGCGCGCAGGAATGCAGCGTAGCGAGGGAGGTAGACGTGCGTATGGATGTCGACAAGCAACCTGTGTGAAGCCACAGCCATCTGGACCAATTTCGACGAGCTGGAACGCGCTGTGTTGCGCGAGACAAGTCGCGACTGAGGGGGGGGGGCAAAAATAGAGATGATCGACGCTCGCGATCCTGAGCCACACGTGCAGTTGTTGAACAGTTGGTCAGAGCCAAAACAAAGGTTACAGACATACAACGACCAGGATGTCAGCGAGAACTCCAATTCCAGAGATCTGTCCTAGCTGCTTGAACTAATCCACTAGCATGCACTTTGATGCAACTCGCATTGTCCGCGCCATGTTTTCCCGACAGTCCATATGAAGACAGATGAACATCGGCGCAGAAGACCGTGACAGCACTGTAATTCATATCCCTCTCGTAAACTCAAAACGCAGCCTCGTGCACCACAGTCACAATGTCCGAGGACGAAGAGGAATTACGATCAGTTCGAGATGAGGTACGCATCAGCTCGCCGTTAGCGATGTAGACCTTGACGTCTTGCCAGCTGCTGGCAGTCGGCGAGACCATCGCACAGATCGAGGCGAGGTACACCGCGGCGCTGACTAGATCATTGGAGCGCACGAGGAGGCTTGAGGCTAGGGTGGTTGATCTAGAAGCCCAGCTTGCACTTTCGTCTTCGGAGCTGCAACGTTTGCGAGCAGAGAATGTCGACTTGCGCAGATCATCTCAGGTCAGTTCTTCAAGTTGCAGCAGTCGTAGGATGTATGTCAATTTGTTGCTGAACAGGCAGGATCCCACCGCACGACCAATGAGAGAGAAAGTGCAGCCGGTACAAACAGCCAGTCACAAATCTTGGTATGCTGTAGGATGTCGTCTTACTCGTTTATCTTGCTCATCTGATCACAAAGGATACGAAAGGCAAGGCGGTCGCTAGACGGGCACCATCGACGGAACCATTGTCACCCGTATCAGACATTGACTTACGGGGTTCCTCTGCACATGCGACGGCAGCACACAGGCAGAGACGGCAGGCGGGGACAAGATCTGCTCGACCGCAGCCCTTGAAGATCGCCGACCCGAGTAGTCCAAGTGCAAGCGCAGATATTCAGCCCCCACCGCGACAAACAACACCATTGCCTGAGTCCCCAGGTGCTTGGTATATTGAATATTTGAATCCACCGGCGACGGCAACAAACTCTGCTGGACCCATGTCATATGCTGATCTTCAGAGCCTCCTGGGACTTGATGATGAGACGGTACAGTGGCACTTTGATTAAATATCGATCAGCACTAATGTAGTCGATCGGACTCAGATGATCTGTATTGAAAGGTACTGAGCGGTGTGCAAAGGGAATCAACATGCTGATCAGACATCTCGACAGTCTTGGATGGATGGACGACCCATGTATGAGGATCCATATCCACAACAATCTAATCTTCGTTACGCGCGCATTGTTTTTAGAGGGGCCCAGTGGGACATACCTCGTCAATTGGGGCAGACAGGAGGTTAATAGGAACGTGAAAAGGTATCTTGTTGAAGGCATGAATAGGCCGGCGGCCTCGCTGTTCCATTTGTTCTTCAATCCGCAGACCCAGGTACGCGTCTCGCCGATATCATCGCGCAATATGAGCTAATCGAATCTACAGCGTGGGCTAGTAGAAGCGTGGTTTTACCTTGGGGCGCACGAAATGACTGCGGTGGAACTGGGCTCGGCCTGGCATAGTAGTTGGTTGCACAAAGAGGTAGGCAGATCTGACTGAAGACTGCACGGACGGTGCTCACGGCTCCGCAGGAAAAAAAGGTGCTTTGTGCAGAGCTGATGCAGAGGTGGAATAGCCGTATGGACGGAAGAGATGTTGCACGGATGATTGAAGAGCGCGAACTTGAGCAGTGCACCATCCAGCTGAAGCACGAAGGTCAAGAGGATGCAACCGCTGCATTCTTAGAGGAGGTTTTGCGGGGTTAGAAATCAGTCGAGAATTATACTGGGATTTTGCATTCTAGCATTGAGAGTACAAGGGTGTCGCCTGATCGCATGTAATGGTGGATACCATAATTATTACGTGATTTTCTCATGACAACCGAATCAGTGTTACAGCGCCCCAACATTTTCCTGACCACCTCAGCCCGACTCCCGACCGTCTTGACCCGTTTCTTCTTCAACGACATTCACCATGCGCTGCTCTGCGCGCATCCTGACGCTCTTTTCTCTTGCACTCATTTCGACACAGTCTTTTACGTTCGTCAGCGGTCAGTCGCCGCCGGGGACTACTGCCCCCTCTGTAGGCACAGGCCTCCCAACGTCGGTTCCCGTCCCTACGCCGTCCCCCCCGACCGTGGCGACCACTTCTCCCACTCTCGCTCCCACTCCCACTCCCACCGAGAGCCCATCTCCTACCACGTCGCATGCTGTCACTGAAGCCGCGAGTCCAACCACCTCAGATGCTGAACCATCTCCCACTACGTCTTCCTCTTCTTCCGAACATGTAACATCTTCAAGTCCTACAACTTCTTCTGCACCTGCTACTCACGCTACACCTTCCTCTGCGACACCCTCGACTTCAAATGTTTCTCAGCCCACTTCCTCTACTGTTTCAAGCTCTTCTTCTTCGGCTCCTGTAGCCACGTATGTTTCTCGCGTCTTGAGGTGTCTAGTCACATTCTAATACCGTGTGCAGTTCTCAGCCCTCGTCATCACCCTCCTCCGCGGCTGTGTCCACTCCGACTCCTATAACCACCACTCCTGTTCAGACGGCTGTCACGTCTACTCCTGGGGAGCCGACCCCTTCCAACTCTCCAACTACACAGGAAATAGTTGGGATGCCTTCATCGAATGATGGACCCACTGCTAGCGACGTTTCAGGAGCCTCAGCCACGGGTGGTACAAGTTCATCCAAAGGGTACGATTTTCTTGATTTCAGCTGCCGTACACTTTTCGCTGACTCTGTCGTAGCTTCTTTTCAAACAAAGCTGCTGTAGCAGGAGTATTTTCCGTTGTTGGAATCATCGGTGCGGCCATCATACTTGGTGTCATTCTGCGAATCGTCCGGCATAACAGAAGTCGTCACTACGACGATGAAGACACGCAGTATTTCGACAAGGAGTTGGGAGCGAACGGTGGAAACTATGGTGATTCGCCTCAGATCGCCGACGACAACCAAAGCGAAACAGAGGTGATAACCAATGCCGCTGCCGACGCCTATCCCGACCGCACGTCTCACTACGGCTTGGGTGGTTTCGACGATTCTCAGCCACGCGCTTCCATTGTGGAATATGCCAAAGGTACTGCCTATGCCGCTGCTCGTAGTCAAGCAGGCCCGTATCAGTATAGTGGCCAATCCGTTGGCTACGCTGGTGGTTTCACCAATGCGCACTATCAAGGACCATCTTCCCCAGCTGAAGTTCATCAGTACGCCGACCCGTACAATGTCGCTCGAAATGCAGCGATGGCCGCCGCATACGGTAATGCACAGCCGCAAACCGTCCAGTACAGACATGGGGGCGATCCGTATATGTAAAACACCCGTTTTAAATGTGTAGTGCGTACATTTGGTGCGTCGTGTTGTTACTTCGGTCGTATAAGTGTGTCTCAGTAGTTTGGTTAGCTAGATACCCAGCGTCCATAGCCAGCGGCTCCCTGTACTTTCGAGTGCTCTTCGGGAGCCTGCCAGCAATGTTTCGTTCGCCAGACTTTTCCCCCCTTCTTGGACCATTCAAATCTGTGACTCGCTCTGTATTGTTCTGCAGTGTGTTCGTCACAGACAATATGTGGCTGCAACGTGTTTGATCTTACTGGTAATACATGCATCCGGCAAGCTGCTTTGTTTTGAAGGCACATCTTGTCGGAATTCACGCATAGCACTGTCGATTATATTTAAGTTATTTTGCAGGTCGCGACACTGTACGCAGTATATGCATGTCAAGGGACGATGTACACTAGTACTTCCTGTACCGTATATGTGAAGGGTGGCAGTGGCACTTTCGAACCATCACCCACTACCTTCACTTACTACTTACGTTCATATTAGCTACCTGTACTTTACATGATATACTGTGATACACGCGCAAACCTTGCATTCAAAAAAACAATCGCTCGTGATGATAGCATCAGTTAGATTGGCCTGTAAATCTCGATGACATGGGGAAACTAGTTGTGATGGAGCTGGGTAGAGTAGGCAAGCTCATGTCGCGCAGGCTCATATCCCTCAAAGGCTCTAGGTCCTTCATGATCATGCTCAGACGTCCCATTCCAAGTCGATCCTTCAGGCCCCTTCCCTCCGCGGTGGCGCCGTCATCTGCAGTATCGTTGAAGCCCTTCTCTGCCTGGCCCCAGTCGCTCCGCTGCGCAAGGTATGGCCTGAGCAGACTGGGCTCGATGCGGCCGAGGTAGCCTTCCGTTATGTAGGATCTGAGGATATCTGGCCGGACGAGGAAAACGTTTCCGAGCTGCCGGATGAATTCGAAGCGTTCGTGAAGGGAAGGGATGGAGAACGAGCTTATAGTGTCTTGGTAGGACTTCAGATCCCTAGAAAACAAACAATGAGGATTAGTACATGACGCAGAGCCAGTTGAATACGCGCACTTCGCGAGCATCAGCCCTCCAGTTGCGCTGACCGGGAACTTCCTGAGATGTTCGAGCAATAAGCTACAACAACAGGTCAATGAGAGGCCGCGGAGAAGTTTTGTTGAGATGTATACCTATGGAACGCCACACCAATCTCGGTCAGGAAAATCTCCAGATTCTTCCCGCTCAAATTCGCTTTAGAGGCATCTCGAACTCTTTCCAGTATTTCGCAACAGGCTACACAAGGCTCAGTGTTGACTCGTGCGAACGACAGATCGTCGTTTCGAGGCTTGAAATCATTGCGTTTTTGTTTTGTGAGTTGCAGCGCAAGATAGCTGATGATGGCTACAGTGCACCAATGAAATCACCGGTCAACATAGTGGGAGTTACGCACTCACCATCAGCGAGACGTTGCATCAAGTGATTAGCCGCGCCCTCAATCCTACTCACGGACTGGTTGTTGAAAACGACCATATCTCGACGTACGGAGACGGAGTTGCTTGCGAGAGGGAGGAGAGCCAGATTGACGTAATGCTGCCACAAATGACATATGAGGTCAACCTCATGTAGCATGACTAGGACCTGTAAAGATGGTTCGGACTTGGTATCTGCAGCATCCAAGCGGGATATAGCACTGGCGAATGGTCATTTGCATAAGGAACGATAGCAATAGCATACTTTGTACTTACGTCTCCAGAACGGTCTCAATGTAAGCGCTGCCGATGGCCGTCGATAGTACTCTCAGCAACGCAAAGGTCTGTTTGGGCCTGCAAATGCTATGTCAGCTACTACATTGCATGATTCCAAATACGAACGCACACGTCTGTAGCGGGACTTAATTCAACACACCTCCCAATGGCCTCCGCATGCCATTTCAACATCTTCTCGGCGATAGCAATACTCACTTGGCCATCTTCCTCTCTAATGGGTTCCTCTCCTGATTTCTCTTGGTTCCGCTCGCTGCTGGAACCAAGTCCACCAAAACGCATGATCGCTGCAGCGGCCTGAGCAGA